TACTTCCGTAAATTTCGGATAGGTGTGTGCCGCGCAGGGTCTCAAACCCTGACCTTAATTAAGGCAAGAGATTATAATCTCTTGTTTAAGGATAAAACAAAAGAAAATTGATACCGTATGTAATGAAAATCAAAAACCAAGAATAGCGTGAACGGGTCAACTTTATTTCGTTTCAAAGTTAACGGATAGTTCAGTTTAAACAGATCATTTGATTTTCATTTACGCACTGCAATTTTTAGCTGATACAATTTAGGTACCCTATTTAAGGATCACACCGGGAACACAATTCCAACAGGAACAAAAATGATAACCTATTAAAGATGGAGAAACTCAAAACCCCTGCCCTATCCCGTGGCACATATCTATACAGCCCATATATGGGAGTATGTACCCTATAGGGATAGACCTCAACTCTATCTCAACGATCGCTTTGGTCTAGATCATATTGAAACCACTCTCCAGAGATTGTAGCAGAATATAGTGGAACTCAGCTCGTGTTTGTTTGATCCAGGTCCTCTTGCACATTTCTTTTTTGTTTTTATTCTGTAGCGATCGTAGAAAATCGCTCAACTTCTTATGAAGCGACCGCAATGATCGTAACAAGCACATGGAAACTAGCCTTAACATTTTCAACCTCCGGTGATTAGAAGAAACTGAGATTGAACAAGCTGAAAAATGCTTTTCACGACTTTCATTCTAAAGGAAAGCCGGAGCGTGTTTTGAAAAACAAACTGTTAATTCAAAGGACAGTTCTTTTTACCGATACATGATTTACGAGAAACTGACACTTTACCTTCATGTGGGCGTATTTAATACATGAAACGGGCGCCGAAATAACGGAGTAACCACGGGTAAGTGCCGTGTGGGATACGGGTGTCTGTAAGCCTTGCAATCATTGAGAGCTAACTATTGAGATAGTAATATTTAGGCTAACCTGAGGGCTATTTAGGCTGACCGGAGCCGCTATCTCGGCTAACCGAAACGCTCTATGATTTAGGCTAGTCATACTGTCATTTCGAGGGTTAATTTCGCCCCTTCATGCTTATATGTGCCACCTTGCATTCAGGGTATATCAGAAAACGCAAAAAGCAAAACTGAACGGGATTCAGCAAAGTTTGCTTTCGTTCCGGCCTTCTCACAATTGACAAAAGAAGAGAATAATTTTATTCATACCTCAGACAATTACTTTGTACATTGAACCCGGAAAACTCGAATTCAATCGACCACTAGATTTTTTCAAATCAGTCTGAAGGCACTTTAGTTTAGTACGGCATGTAATTGTTGATTGTTCTTTAATAAGGATCGTGGATGCTTTCGATGGCACTTCACTGTAATAAAATGTAAATACGTTACGTTTAATTTGCAGCAAACCTGTCATGTGATTTGCAGAATCCAAGGCTTGTCGTAGTCAACCAAATACCTTGGTACCCGTTAAAGTGTTAACAGTATCGCAGCTCTTCTCTCGATCAAATCAGTTATGATAAGCTACAGATTGTGTCCTTGTTATCTCGAAATGAGTTAGATTACCAAGAAAGCAGGAGTGTCTAAGTCAGTTCACCATTTATCACTTTGGCACACGGCGGCTAATTGTTTTGACGACAAACAACAAATTTCAGTTGTCATTCAAAGTGTGATCACTACAAACCGAGATCGCAGTCCTTGGGGTGCCAGACCGATACAGACGATACAGTAAAGTGTTGTATTGTGTTTCACACAATATTTTTATTTGGAAAACTCTTTCTTTGATCGTAAATCTCTCGCCCAAAAATTGGTATCTGTAATTTTGAATAAACAAACAAAAGCACAGTATAGCTTAGTAAGAGTAAGAGAATTCTAACCGCTGATAAAAATCACTTCCGAGGGTCGTTCGGGTGAAACTTCCAAACTTATTCAAGCGAAACTTCTGTCTGTCGACATATAGACCTTAGAATGCTCGTCGAGACAGCAAGTCAGTTAAGATACAAACAGCAAATAATGACCGTGATTCATATACAACCACTTGTTACCGGCGAAAGGGGTGTCGTCGGATCGGAGCTGTTTGGATCATCTCGTCTTATTTCACGAGTTCCGGTGAATATATATGCATCGCAAACATGAAGAAAAGCATTTTACATCTATGTAGCAACTATCACTCAAAACTTCCTTTGCTCTAAGTTGCGACGATTCATCAAAACAACATTCCTTGTCCGCTCAAACCACTGACAAATCGATTTGCATAACCTCGATTTGTTTCAGATGTCTGGGCAGAGTTGTTTCGTAATCATTCAGACTTTTGCAACTCAATATTACATGTAACGGTGTCGATGCGAAACAAGACTTGAAATATGGACCGCAATCTACGAGATCTACGACAACGATTCCACGGTGTTATGCATGCTACGACAGTAATGGCTATTATTGGCATGGGCAATTATTGCTTTGGAGTAGAGGCAATCAGACTAGAATACATTAGAATTTCACCCTACCTCTTTTCTAGACAAGAAATCCATTCAGCTACCATGGTGAAGAATATCAAAAACACCCACTTACTCTTGGGTTGTTTTGACGATAATTTTCGCTTTCAAACGTTCAAATTGCGACATGCTAAAAGAGCTAACTTTTCCGCTATTCAAACCATTCACCATCTGAGCGAAATGGACAAGGCGCAAAATCAAAATACCGCGTATTTGAGAGATTGACCAATCAAATGGTTCGATATTGACAGAGTCACAAAAGATCATAGGAAACGCCGAGGCAAGGTTGAATCCTTGCATAACAACACATTGCATCGCGGAAGGTTTTTAACTCTGCTTTTGGAAGTTCTTTCAATGCTTGCTGCACCAACTTTCTCATATAAACCCTGCGATCAATATATCAAAGAGGTGGTAGCGAGTAATTACTACATCATTTGGTCACGCTACTGAGCTATTTTACTAATTTTAGCTGTTCAGAAAGCGGAACACTCAAAATGAGCACGCACGCAAACCGGAGAGATATCAACGAAAATAACAAAAACGACACTAATTAACCTGTATATATTACCCACTTTTTTCCTTCATGAGTTTCGCGCGGCCATCACAGGTTTGGCGAGTCACGGCCTAGCGTGACGGCCGCGAGCGAGCAGAGAGCGAGTGTGAGAGACGTACATTGGCAGAACATCAACTTTAGGGACGGACCATTATTTCTTTGAGGTTTGAGCAATTTCTAGAAAAAACTTTCCTGCACAGCAAAGACGGCTGAAAAAAAAAAATTGTGCAAGGGGAGCCATGAGAAAATAATCTAGCAAGTTCTTTCTTCTACCCAGGTCATGTGTTTGACTTAAAAGAACATTCTTGCACAAGCTATTATTGTACACAAAAAGTCATGCACAACCTAAAGGTGAGAGAACAAATTCATGTCCTACAAAATTGCCCAACTCCCCCCTTCCCCTTAAAAAAAATAAAGGTTCCCTCCGTTAGTCTTGCTCAGGCTCGAGTTTGGCGTCCGAGGTGTGTAGAGAAAAGCTTAAGGGCTACCTATTTTTCCAACTCACGATCTCCAGCAAATTTAATAAATAAGATTTTTTTTACAAAAATGTCACGGCGACCTAATGGAAGAAAAAGGCCTGTGGTCCAATATTTAGAAATCATTTGGTAGGCGACAAAACATTTTACTTGAACTGTGCCTGATTTTAGTTCCAAGCGTCCTCGGTCTCGTTGGTTGTCCTGGTCATATCCAAACATAATCTGTTACCGAACAACTACACAAAACAAAATTGAGCGGAGCCAGGGTAATGCTGAAAGCCAAAAAGGCAAATATCTGTGACTGATAAAACTAGGAAATAATTTTAAAAATTGATTAATGTGCTGGTTTAGTTAGGATCGGGGAAGGTTCGGCGTTTGACCTTCACAGGGAGCGGCTGTGTCCTTGATTGGAAAACACACTTAACAGCCTAACATTGCCTCTAGCCTTACCCAGGGGTATAACCCACCCCGGGTGTATAAAAGGTACTGGTAGGAGTCTAAATGGGAGAAACCTCAGAGTAATCTGATGAATAAGGAGTGCTGAATTGGAAGGAAACTCCACTACAGCAGATTGGTAATCTATTCAGCTGTTGTGTAGCAATCGGGCGACTTTGGCCTTGAAGCTTCATTGTACCAAAACTGGAGTAGGAACAAGCTTTAATTCCCGATTTCCTCTGTGATCTGAGACGCGCCTGCGGGGAGTCATGGTAGTTATATTCATCATCGTATCTTGGACTGGATATTTGTTTTGATGAAAACAATACCATGGTTCCCTGCGGGTGCGTCTTATAGATGGAATTGGCCATTCTCGATCAACAGAGTTAGCCAGCGGGCGGACACTCAACTGGAATTCTTTTCTTTTTTTTATTTCTTCCCGGCTCTCCGCTGGGATTCCCTCCTTCTTCTCTCTTACCTCGAATCCGGGCCCAGTGAAGAGCCTGCTCGCAAGCTAGAATAGAATGGAACAACTTGCATATTAACCTAATGATAGTGATCCATAAATCCGTAGAAAGCTACAAACAAGCTAGTAAGGAAACAAAAAAGAACAGCGAATATCACTGTTCTCAGTTATCAGTAAAAAGAAAGGCGACAAAGAAAAGGAGAAAGAAATTCTGTGATATTTCTCTCCTCTCAGGGACAAACTTGTGATCGATCTGGATAAGAGGACTTCCATGGATAACAACCGCGACTGATATGATTTAAATTTTATTTCAATCTACTACTTATAATGTTTAAAAATCAAAGCCCTATTTATGCATTTCTTAATTTTTTTTAAGAAATAGAAACCCTTTTCGTTTTTCTATCGAGTTGAAGTAACACGATTGGAAGTCTGGGAGAAGGGGAGAAATCGGAACTGAATGCTGTGAGAATAAGAGCCGTTGGCGTGTCTCTACAGTTTTTGCTAGAGTATTTTCTAAGTGAAAACGTAGCATGGATAACATTATAGCACTATTATAAACCGCGCGTTTCTAAGCTCCCCTCTCGAATATCTCCCCCCTGTGTAATGTTATATCTTTCACATAGGTTCCCTTGTTGACGATCGGGTAAGCCAAGACAGTGGTTAAACTGAAACTAAAGGTTATGTACAGTAACTGAATATGTACTGTACTCATCGATCAAATCAACGTGAGTTCAAAGTTAGGAGGTCGCAAACTCCAGCCAACACTTGACCAAAAAACCAAATGGAATTGATCAACAGTGCTGCAAACGAGAGGTGCGCTGTGAAAAGGCTGACGATTATCTCTAGCGTCTCGTGCAACTCATGACGGAAAGATGAGTCGAAGACGAACTGAACACAGGAATACAATATGGCTGCGACAAGAACACATGCTGCCACGGAGAGAAGAACAGAACGGTCGATCGTCAGGCCTGGTTGCAGTACACGGCCAATAGTACTTGTATAGGACCATTCCAAACTGAAAGTAACAGTGTCTGCTGCGTGGCCTGCGCATGTGTGGTACGCATGCTTCACTACATCCACACAACTGAAGTTGGAAGGCATCTTGTAAGCCATGTTGAGATCACTAAATAATAAGAAAAATGCGTTTACTTTTGATTTTCTTGAGTAGAATGCTAGCTAGAAGCCTTCCGTCCCCTCTGGAGAGGGGAGGAACTCCTGTATATAAATTACAAAGGGGTCTCACCAGCTATGTTAATAAATCATTATATTTCTTTTAAGCCGTGACGCGGTTCACTTTGGTATAGGATATCACTTACTGGGAAACTAACTGTCCATATCAATTGTTCAGTCTTGACTAGGAAATTGAAAAAAAATTTACTGACGAGTTTAATGAGTATCTCACTCCCGGGGCTAGCAGCCCTTAAAAATGTCGGCGGGAAAAAATGAGGGTGTATTACACGGACAATCCAGTGAACGAATGAAAAATCGAAGCAAATACTCGTAGCTGATGAGCGCAACGCGCGCGAAAACGTGCGCGAGAGAGGCACAATTTGTTTTGGTTTTACTTCTCATTGGATGACAAAGTGGAACGAATTTTCAGTAAGCCAATCGCTTTGCGTACTTATGCAAAACCAAAACAAATGCGAATAAATTTCGATTTTTAAGTGAAAACCGCTATAAGAGCTTTTACTTATTTGTTACCCAGATGTGATGAACGACTAGGGAGAAATGATGTCATGCTGAAGGTCTTAGGGTATGCTGGGAAGGACGAACAACCAGCAGGATCGTTCGGCCTTCCCTCGATGCAATGCGTTCCCATCCTATCAGTCTCAGAAGCGAAGAGTGTGACACTTCAGATGCAAGGAAATATGCTTTAGTTGGCGTTAGTGCGTATTTACCTTTCACTGAATAAGAAATGTAATAATAAGTGACAGGTGTTTTTTCTAGCATTTCAAAAAAACTGAGGTATATGGGGAAATGAGATTGGACTATTTTTACAAGCCTATTTCAAAGTTGTTTCTTATCTCATTTTATCTTAAGCGTGACTATATATGTACCCTTCATCAATCTTGTCAGTTTGACTTTGAGGAGCGGCAAGTTGAATTGCAACCACATTTCACGGGCTTTGGCGCTTGCCAGATCGCGTATTCGTTTTCTTCCACAAGGCTCAGAAAGTCAGGTTCGCATAAAACACATTAATCTCGCCTTTTTGAAAAATCTGGAATTTTCCGTACTCTTAATTATCACGCGAAAAAAAAAGTTATTCCTTGGTGCAGAAAAACAATTTTCCCGCAATGGGAAACAAGAAAAATGTCGGTCTTGATACAAAGGAGTGCATGAATCTTTGGGCGCAACATACAGGACAGTATAAACATAGTCCGCTCTGGACAAAGCAGCGAGGTGTCCGTATTAAAAAAGCCTGGGGCTCACTGTAATATCATAC